CTTGTTAACCTGATTTTAGCACTCACAGCCAAAATCCAGTCCAGCAGAAAACAGCAATCACCTCACTGTCTGCTGCAGTTTGCTTTGAAATTAAACTTTAAATTGAATCATTTTGCAAACTACTAAATCCCACAGAAAGCAGAATGTGCAGTTCCTTTCAGGGGAGATCAGTATCTCTGAGAAGGAATTCTCTTAACCTGCCTGTGAGGAATTTGGGATCAAAACCACCCAGACCCATAGGATGCAACTTCCATGACAGGAAACTGTAATTAACAGGCCAACTTACACATTATTCATAATGATTGGCTATACTCARTAAATAAAATCAATTTTTATGACTTTTCCCTGCTTAAAAAAYGCTTTTTCTATACTGATTTTGGAACTGCTGCTCATCTCCCCCAGCAGAACGAGGACCACGAGCTCAGGGAGTTACACAACTGSTGCTGGTGGTACCTGGGTGAGAAATGAGCTCTGAGATTGAGTCAGGGATGAGCAGGGAAAAGGTTAAACCTTCCAGCTTTGGGCTCTCTCCAGTTTAAACCAGCCATTAATCCCTAATAATTTAATTTATTTGCATTAACAGACCGGGGAGTCAATATTTGCGTTAGCCCATCGCACAAAATAATTTGAAATGTTTCTTCTAAACCTGGTTCAATTCCATTTCTTAATGCCAAWGCACCTTTATTTCAGAGCCTGATTAATATTTCATGCTCATTACTTAGGCTCAGCCTCACAATAATCAGCTCCTAAGCCCAGCTTTCCATAGGGCTGTGGTTGGAGAGTTCAACCTTTTGGAATTTTTGTGCTCCTCTGATTTGCAATGAATTTAAATTTAYATCAGGCTCATTTGTTTCTATTATCATACATGAACTCTCATGGTTAATTAAAAGAGAAAAATAAGTGTATTTTTGTCCCTGCAGTTGGGGGATTTATTTCCTCTCTTCCTCACRTTCTTCCTCTGCACTTTTTGCCTGCAAGGCACAAAGTTCCGAGTGGTTTCCAGACACAAAGTTTCTGAATTTAATCCAAATTAAGCCCCATGTCCAATTTGATAACAAATCCCTGCAATGTAAGCATCCACACTTGGTAAATACTGCATGATTGTAATTACAAACCTAAAAATCATAACATGAAAGTGTTGATTAATGCTTCAAAGAAGATTTTCCAGCATTTCTGCACATGGAATCCATCTGATTCATTCTATATGTGATTGCTCTGTTTGGCCTCAGGCTAAAAAATTACATTTTTCAAACTATTTCCTCCCCTGATAAATGTTTCTGCTGGGAAAATTGGCCACTTTCTTTCTCTCTTTCATCCCCATTTAAAGATTTTTGAATTCAAGCCATACAGCCAATAAATATGTCCCSAGTTCATTATTTTCTGGGAACACCAAGGTGGTTTTTCCTGTAACAGACCTCATCCCTGAGTGGGAGCGGTGACTTTGGGAAGTTGAGTTGCTAAATTTTTAAGGACTCTACTACAGAAAGAATTAACAAACAGCCAATTCTTTTATCCTATTCCTTTTCCAGAGCTTTTTCACCTGCAAGTGAGGACTCAAACTCTGGTTGGAAACGCTCCATTCCTACTCTCAAACACTCTGATGGACCTGGCGAAACCAAAAATATATTCAGATTTATTTCCAAGTCTAAGAGGGGATAAAATCACCTTTCTGGAGTGCTGGAGCATCCTTCAAACCTTTAAAGATTTTTGAACAAAAGATTTAAAGGTTTTTTTGAATAAAAACACCTTTCTGGAGTKCAGGGGCATCCTCCAAACCTTCCCTTCCCATGTCCTCCTTTTGCAGGAACCAACTCTGAATATCAAACTGAGTTTTCCTGCCAGAGCAAATCTGGGCAGCCCCAACCCACCCAAGATTCTCCTGCACTCCAGAAAGGTGATTTTATTCCCTCTTARACWTAAATAATAAATATAAAATAAATAAATCTGAAGTATTTTTGGTTTTGCCAGGTTCMTCAGAGTGTTTTGGGACCCTGTGCTGCTGATAATGAGCATCGAGCTCCCCTTGGAGCAGGAGCATCCCTGCCGACTTTCCTGCCACAAGATACGATTTTTTAATATTGAACAGCCACAGGGGGGGAAAAAAGAGGGAGGGATGGGAGGAAAAACAAAAAAAAAAAAGGCTGTTAAATTCTTAAATTTCAGTGCCTAAAGGGGATCAAATCCAGTTTGAAAATATCCGGTTGGACAGTTATGGACAGAGCCTCGGAGCTCGGTGTCAGCTCAGACAGAGGAGCTGAACATGCACAAATTCCTCACCCACCACTCRTAAATGACTTTTCTTTAGGCCAGCAAKGAGCAGCTCYGCTGGCAAACTGYRGGGAAAAGTAAAATCCCACTAAACYAGACATTTCCTGGAGATATTCCATGGATTCTGGGCACAGTGTGCAGGGAGGGGGTGAGGAACCTGGGCTTTCACTCACTGCTTTCATCAAATTTCATTTGTTTTGCAGCTGCAAAAGCCTGTACAAGGAGGATTAAARCTTGTTTTATGGAAGCAGGAGTGGRAAAATTCCCARTCATATCAATGTTCACWGAAAATAAGGTGAATTCRATTGGAAAAGTCAAATCTATAGGCACTGAAATTCCCTCCTCAGTGATGCTTTAAAATTCCCCTCTCAGTGGCTTTATTTGCCAGATCTTCCATGGACAGATGGGAAAAATTCATTGATCTAAAGCACAAAAAATACCTTCATTAATAAGAAAACCTAAACATGCCATGGTGGGGCATTCTGAAGTTTTATCCTCCTGAATCCTGGTATTCCCCTGGAGAAATCAGCAGAGCCCTGAGCAGACAGGAGAGCTGGAAAACTGCTCAAACCACATTTAAACCATGTTTAAACCATGTTTAAACCACGTTTAAACCATGAGAACACGCAAAAGCGAGTGTTTCTCAGGATCATTAAAATTAATCTTAATTACAGAAGCCAGGTTTATCCGTGTCACCCAATGTCACAATACTTCAAGGCAGGTGATGAGAGGAAAAAAAGGCAAAAATCCCCAACAACTGCACCCAGCACAGCAGAGCAGAATCTGCATTATTCATCATYGGTCGTGCAGTGACAGATCCAAAATAATTAGTATTTTACCCATTAAGTTATGCAATTCCCCTGCCTAAAGAGAAGCCAGAAAGAAATGTAAAGTAATTATACAGCAGAGATGCTCAGAGATGGGAAGTTCTGGCAGAGCAAAGCTCCAGTTTGGAGTGAGGAGGGAGAACAAAACTTGTTTGTAACATGGAGGGGCAAAAAAAAGAAAAATATGGAGCTGTCCAAGGAGAAAAGTAAATTAATTGAAAATTCAGGTGTGCACCTCACAGATTTGGGAAACCGGGGACTTTGCAGTAGAAAGGAAAAGAAAAGGGAACAAAAAGGATATAGAAAGGAAACAAAAGATAATGCAAGAAAAGGAACAGGAAAGAAACAAAATAAAGAGAAACAAGATACATAAAGGGATACAGAAAAGATAAGGAAATGCGTATATTTTATTTATGCCCCTTTAATCTGAGCTTTCATAACAAAAAACAAGGACAGCGTTCTGTTAATGTGGAACAGAATCCCACAATGGTTTGGGTGGAAGGGACCTTAAAGCTCAYCCCATTCCACCCCTACCATGGCAGGGACACCTCCCACTGTCCCCAATGTCCAGCCTGGCCTTGGGCACTCAAAGGGATCCAGGGGCAGCCACAGCTCCTCTGTGCACCCTGTGCCAGGGCCTCCCCATACTCACAACCAGGAATTCCTTCCCAAAATCCCATCCATCCCTGCCCTCTTTCAGACTCAATCCATTCCCWTTGTCATATCATGACTTTTTCCTGAAGAAAATCAGAAATTTTTAACTCTACAAGAACCTCTGTCTGAAAAAATAATCATCATTTACTTACTGTCCATACACAGCCAAAGACAGAACGACCACTGRGGTCACATCAAAGTCAGTGAGAGATTCAGCACCTCCAGAAGGAATTGTGAGCAGCTCCAGCCCAGTTCTGATAAATCCCCCAAATCTGGAAGGACACTGCCTCGACGTGCAGCTGTCCCCATTTATTACAAAGACAGAAAGAAGCTGCTTTGCCTCAGAAGGAGCCAAAAAGAAAAAAGAAAAAAAAAAAAAGGCTGCCAGGCAAAACCTGGCACATCCCAGAGCAGCCAAATGCAGAGCTCATTAGCCGGGAGCGCCTGCACAGCTCTGGGATGGCACCTCCTCGTGCCAGCTGGGAAYGCTCAAATTGAAAATTGTTGTGGTGGGACACCCTAAAAATCCTATCAGTGCTAAAAAGAATCTGCTCTGCAGTAGAGAAACTCGGTGTTTTCTGAAAAGGTCCCACAGAGCACCTGAATTTGGGTTCTTCCAAACTCAAATGGATCAGAAACACACTCAGCAAAGAAAATTGAGTGCATTTGGGCAGCAAATGACTGGCGAAAAATYTAATTCCACACTGACCAGTAAGGCAGAAAAGGTAAAAGGAATGGCTCCAGTAAAGGTTATTTTAGATGTGTTTTAAGAAACACAAAACACTGGGTGCTTCAGAACAAACTCAGAAGTCTCAGCTCTGAGGGGACATCGAGCACAGCTGAGAGATTGAGAAAGCAGCGTTTGTTGAGAGGGAGAAAAGAAAAAAAACTTTGTAACAACAACAACAAAACCCACAAAACATCTGGGCTGAGAGAGGGATTCAGGAATCCTGACTTTACAGAAATAAAATCCTGATCTTACAGCGAGATGTGCTGTAACCAAGGCTCTGTGACACAAAACTGCAAAAAGAACGAGAGATGGGGGACAGATGGGCACAGACCCAAAACACAGCTCAGACCAGGCAGGAACACATCCCAAATATTTCTCCAAAGCGCTCTGACACTCCACGACCCCAAACCCCACCCTGCACACCCTGAGCCAGGCAACATTTCACATCTGCCCCTTCCTGGTGACACCACTCAGCCACGAGACCCCCAACGCCCTTTTTCACCAGCTCAGAAATTCCTGACCTTGCCAGGGCAGCTCCTCCGCTCCTCCTCCTCCTCCTCACTGCTCAGGGTGGCTTTGGGACCTCTCCTGTCCCCTCATCCTCTCCTGGGTTGATGGCACCTCCTTTCCTCCCAGATCCAGGCAGTTTCCCCAAGGAATCGCRGCAGTTGCAGGGAATTTCACCTGAAAGGCTCTGCAGATGCTCTGAGTTGAAGCCGTGACTCATCTTTTCTGGAGCCTTTTAAGGATCTTGGTTGGCTCCTGTTCAAGGCGCCTTTCTCAACACCGAGTTTTGCAATTTGCAGGGTGACACATCCCKGAGCTGGGAACGGGGCTCACATGGCAGCAGAACCACATTTTTTTGGGGGAAAAACATTCAGCACTACATTTCCCCAATCCTAAAATATCTCACTCTGTCCTTCTGCCCCATTTCAATTAACTCCTCTTTTAAAGGGCGTCAGCTGAACTTGGAAAATGGAAATTCTGTTAGAGCTGAGCAAATGATATTTTAAAGATTTTCTGATGAATTCCTAAATTCAGCTCATTTCTGTCTCTGACTCTCAGAGCCATCTGAAGTTTTTTCAAAGTTCTCCTGGCTTTTTTTTTGGAGTTTTGCTGAGTTTTTTTTGCAATTATCAGCAACCCATCCCCATACCTGTCCTCGCTTTCTGGGGGGGTTTCTGTTAAGATCAGCTTATCAATAAATTTTATACAGTTAGATACATTTATAATGTCAATTTTATGAATTTTCATATATAAATTACTGAATGTACAATGAAACTCTGTTTAATTAATGWGTAAATAATTAAAACTCAAGTATGATCCCTTCCAACAAGTCCACCCTAAGCTATGATGGCCTCTAAACAGTTTGGCAAGAACTGCACATCTTGATTTGGGGGATAAAGGACATCATGTTGAAGTGGACTGGTTTTATGGGAACTGCTTTTTTTTTTTGTTTTTTTTCCTTGGCAAAAGGGGGGAAAAAAAATACACTTTTTTCTGGGGCAGCTTGTTGAGGAATGAGGTTTTTTTACACTTTTGCAGTCTGTTCCATCCACCCAAACCCCTCCATCACTGGCAAGCAAAGGAAAGAAACTCCAAGCAGTGCTTCCACTGAGAAAACAGACATTGGAAATTCTGTTTGAGAGGAGCTGGCTGGCAAATCTCAGCGAGTTTGCTGGCACTTGGGCTGTGAGGAAGGAGCCCAGGATTATCTCCTGCCTGCTGGGGAAGGCACAACAGGCACGAGCTCTGCCCCGTGCAGGGACTGGCAGTGCCAGGCAGCAGCAAACCAAGACAGGTTTTTGGGTTCACAGGTTACAGAAGATCTTGTTTTGTCAGAAAGGTTCGGGTTTTAATTACCTGGAGAGAATTGCTTGCCCTGTTATTTGGTGCTCTAGGGTTGTTATTAACTTTTTAACATAAATCTGCATTGTAGAACTGTAAACCCGAGTTGCTTAATGAAAACAACYGCCCTGTAGGGACGCAGCAGCTCAACAGATGATCAAAAAGCCCTTTTTGCATCATTAATCTGCGAGATTTCATGAAAGAATTAAGAAAAATAAGCATTTCTCTAATGCAGGCACGAAGCATCCTTGAAAACATCRATCCCTCCCCCAAACCCAGTTTGCCCAGAACCACTGCACAGCAACAAAGAGTCCCTCAAACCCAAAATGAAATCATTAAGCAGCAAGAACTCCRTGGAGAGCTCTCCTTGCCCCGTGGCAGAGGTTTCAGAGCCCTCCCCTCTGCCCGTTCATTAATCCCAAATGCAGGAGGATGAGCGCAGACAGWGTCCCTTTGTCTCCCTCTCTCTGGGTCCCTCGTTAGTGGGTGCCCCCCACCCCTGTCCCCGAGACACAACTTGTGCTGTGACGACAGAGACCTCGTGGGCAGCTCCAGCCAACTCAAATGGACCCAAAAAAAAAAAAAAAAAACACAACAACAAAAAAAACCAACAACAATTAAACACCACAAAAAAAAAAAGATTATTCCTCAGCAGCCTCTTCCACATGGAAAATCCACCATGGCCACATCCTGGCACCCTCCCACCTTCCAACACCTTTCTGGCGGCTCCAGCTCTCCAGGATTCTCCAGGAACCCACTCAGAATCTGACAGGACCTGCCTGGAACACATGGATTTTAGGGGAACAGCCCTTTGGAGAAAGTGTGCCTGTTAATCAGAGAGAACGGTAACGGTGCCTGATTGGATTTAATGAGGCAACAGCACTTAGGACTGACCCTAAACGTGTATATGGAAATAATTCCCTCCGAATGAGCTCTTGTGATGGGCAGGAGAGATGAGCAGTGCCCTGAACACATTCCTGGGGACAGAACAGCAGGGCTGGCACTGCCCAGGGCTGGCACAGCCCCAGGACAGGGAGGGAATGGCCAATGCCACCTCTGCCACCTCTGCCCCGCTTGGGCCACTCTTTCCAGAGAAATCTCAGCTCAGAGAACCCCATCCAGAACAGGAATCCCATCCAGGAGTCAGGATCAGGATCCAGACTGTCAGAAAACACGGCAGTTCCTCATCACTTCGACACCCAGTCACTGCTGCCCAACAGTTTGGTCTGCAAATCCCATCTCGAAGCAGCTGCTTATTGAGGCCTTCCTAATTACCACAACTTCAGAGAAAAYTGCAATTCTTATTTCTAGATTAGAAATTTCACTGATCCTCTTCCTAGTTTTTTATMAACTAAGTATTTTACCTGATAAGGAAAAAAAWTAATAMAWTTTTTTGGGTATTTTCTTTTTATTYTTYGACTGACTTGTCTGGSTTTGCCCCACTGACTTTGTTAGGGTTCTTGCACATGAGGACTGTTATTTATCTGACCTGGCTTCCAAAAGAAATGCCACCGATAAATTAATTCTGTAATCCTTTATGTCACTATGCACATCTGTATACATAGCRTTTGCTTATCTACTTTTTGCTATTAATTCTTACATTTTTAATCACTTTYCRTTCCCTSSCATTTACTTATGCTRTTTGAATGARTTTTGAAAATAATTCRCTTTCASAAAATGAATTTCTATTTCCATTTCCTGAAGGATAACCACACCTGCAGTGCACTTACAGAAACAATAATAAACTGCCTGGTTATCGTGGGTTTGGTCAGTAATGCAGAAATGTGGATCCTCAAGTCTTCCAATTCAASTAATGAAGACTAATTAAGCAATAAGAAGTCATTCATATAAATCCTAATGAGCTTTTCTAACCCTTCAGTCGTTGAATTAACCGTGATTAATCAAAAAAAGCAAAGATGGTCACTTACAAAGGAACCTTTCACTTTCAGTGATAAGATCCCTTCTTCCTACCTTGCCTGCAAAAAGGGATTTTAAAGGTAAAGGGCAACCCTAGTCCATTATCTATCTGAGAAAGAACTGCAAATCACAAAAGGCTGGCATTTTTCACACCTTTTAAAACCTATTTCTTCACAAAAAGATGTTTTACAGTGGCCAGACTCTCAATAGAATTCATTTTAACTTGGAGCTTGGACCACAGAGTGAACAGAGAGCCAAGGACAATGTGGATAAGATAGAGCTGGATAAATCATTAAGGATTAAATTCCTTTTGAAACACTCCAGGTATCTGCTGCAGCTCTCTTTAAGCCATCAGTAATTAGTTTTTAGCACTCAGAGTATGACTGAGGGCAAGAGATGGTCAGACAGAGCAGCTGTTTTTAGAAATGGAAAGAGGAGTTTTCCTTAAGTCTAAATTCAGATTGCTGCAAGACCCAGGAACAAATGATTAAACAAYGGAATTGTAAGTACCTCCAGGAATATAAAGTGAGAAGAAACTGCCAAGATGTCAACTTCTAATCATGTCAACCCAGTCTTCATTTTTTTTTTAAATGAGGATAATTATCACAGGAGGGAACTCCATGTGATAGGTTTTGAATAGACAAAACAGAGCATGTTTGTCACAGCAAGGTCCATCTACCAACTTGTGAGTTTAGGCTGRCAATAAATAYCCTCAAARAATGRAYTTTGWCTGTMMATTYCCARATTGAGGGYCCACATCAGCACATCTGGACCGGTKTTTGCCTTGATCCCATATTTTCATGTGTGACTGAGGTTGTACACAGCGTGAGGGATTCACAAGGACCCTAAAGGACAATACTTAGAAAAATCAACCTGAAATTATGAAGATAATTTAATAAAAGATATTCCAAGTCCTACTTATTTTAGAAATAATCAAAGGCAAGATTTCAAACCTTTTCTTTTTTTTTTGCTAGGCAGCAACAGAGTGAGAACAGAGGCTGGAAAGGATAAAACCCAAGCGTGAGTCAGCAAGGAGAGGCTGCTGCCAGAGCCAAGTGGTGTTTGGGGAAACATTACCAGATGTTAAGCACAGGACACAGGAGGTAATTATCCATGTGAGGCTCAGAAAACATGACCTAGAAAGGAGGATATTTGCTCACTCCACGAAGAGGGAGGGCTGGGAAAGGGACATGGCAGCGATATCCCGACACATGACGGGGTTTAATTAAGAAAGCGCCAATCCATTGTAGTTTGGGAACACCAATAGTGGCTGCTGTAATTCCCTGAGAGGGAAATTCAGGACAGACAGTATGGAAAGCTTTCTGAGCTATAGAGTTAATCATTTTAGCACGTTATCTCCAAGAAAGCTGCTCTGACCCATCGCTGGGAGCTTCTAAAATGACCTTGACACGAGACCTCTACTGGAGGCAGGGGATGCACTGGGGTCCAGAGGGCTCWGCTGGTTGACCCCTTAAAATCTGTGCCAGATTTGCATTCTAACACATTGCTTTTAGTGTCAAAACCTAATAAATATAATCTTATAGAAATGTTATCTTGTCTGGAACAAAATCATTTAATGTGGCRCCACTGACTGCTGCAGCCCCAGCTCTGTAACATTTTCCTTTTCAAATTCCTATTAAATCACTTCAAGTGAGATCAAATATGGACAATAAATTGTCCATACCTGAGAGKTTCCAAAGCAGCTCTCCCTAAAGGCACYTCYTTATCCCAGTGATCYCAGTTCTCCCAGTTTTARCTTTTCCAAACAWAAACAGTCACATSAAAACAGGAAAAGCTCYCTTGTTCCACTCCTAACACTGCTGTGTACATTGGGTTTTTAACATGATCTGCTCCATATTATGSTCAGGGAAAAGCCATTCAGGAGAAGGGTGGCATAATAAACTTCCTTCATTGTGATGTTTGTATTACATATTTTTCCTCATTT